AACAATACTGCGAGTTAGCATTTTTGGACACGTGACTTCCGACTGAGGTGCGTCAGTCCAGGAAGTGCTGGTAAAGTGCAGACAAATTCACTAAGGTTCTTGTCAGTGAAACTTCTGCTGGTCCAACTCAAAACGAAAAAATGACAAACTTTTAATGATTTCTGATAAACGTCTCCCCAATCCTCATGATTTAACTTTGTATTGTTCGCCTTACTTTATGGAGGTTTTGTCCACCAAATCCGTCAGCTGACTTTAGCACAACATACCATTATCATTACAGCACGAGTGATCTTGAGATTGGAACAGGCACTTGGTTGAACGTATACCAGTAGAAATGGAACTGACTAGGCACACTTTATTATATAGTTTGACTTGTACTGTTCAACATGGTTAATGAAATTGCTTGGTCAAGGTTGTAGAGAGGTTGTGGATTAAACTTTAGTAACGTTCACGATAAGAAGGTTAGTTATTCAAGAGATATATCAAATATTTTGCATCCGAAAAATATCCGTTTTTGTGTTTTTTGCTCATGCCACGAACTCGGAAGTAAACACAATAATAGAGACATGGCCGGAAATAACCCAAGAGCCTCGAACTCCTCCCGGCGGCAGACAACAAAGGTTGGGGCTCTGTGTGCATTAATGAATAAGAGGTTGTGTGATGTTTCCTGATAATATGAAAACACTTTTATGATAAGAACCCGTCCAAAATCACCAGAATACCGTCAGGCGACGACAGGAGAGTTTTCTTTATGTCCATATATATTGAAAAGCCGAGGAACATTTTTCATCTTTGATGGGGATCATCAGCAGTGCGAAATTCGGGGGTATTCCGTGACTTTTCAATCAGCAGTTGAACAGTTAACTGTGTGGACATGAGCGGCTGAACGGGAGTACGCTTACTTCTCACTTGGGTAGAATGTAGTGCCACTCATCCTTCAACCACAGAAACCATGTCACGAGGTCACTCGAGTGTGAACTTCTCAGATGGAAATTACCCTGTTTTGTTAAATTATTCTTCCCCTGAGCCACCACTGACTTGCTCATGAGCTTCCGAACTAGGAAGTCGTGGAACCAGTCAGCCTATGGCACTAGGTTCCGAACAGGGAAAACGATATAGGATAAATAATCTTTATTTCAAACAGTGGCCAACGGTGAGTATGCTTTAATCTGTATTTTTCGTTTTCAAAAGATATGCAGATTCGCACCATAGTTCTGAATGACTCACACTTAATCGGTGGAAACAGAGCAAAACAATCACATCCATTGGTATGACCCTTGTGGTTTTCTTCAAATTCAGTCGTGGAATTGAAATGCACCGGTAATCAGATTGGCTTCCGGACGACAACCGACCGGTACAGTAGTGAGAACCAAACACCTCTGTTAAACAAAAATAACCCATCTGGACAGGCATTCTCTCCACTAGGAGTGGGGGAGTCAATGGCTGAAAATCTCACAGGTGTCTTTGGAACTGACTTACACTTACGCTATTTCATTAGCATTACCAAAGGGAACTATTTCGGCCATTTTTGCGCTCATAACTCAAGTGAAAATAAGGTTTCTCTAACTGGAAATTTCACTTTTAAAGTGTTCGGTGGCGGGTCTTATCAGGTTTCTTGCAATGCAATGATTATCATCGCAAGTGTACTGCTACTCGCTATTCACACGGATCCGTTGAGTACGTTCGGTTTTCGTTCAGAACAAAGAACGATAAATTTGCAATGATTATCATCGCAAGTGTATTGCTACTCGCTATTCACACGGATGAGTTGAGTACGTTCGGTTTTTGTTCAGAGCAATCGACAGAACGATCTACTCGTAGTGATTGATCACTCATTTTTGTCACATAATCGTCGAACCTTATTTCTATCTCATTAATGAGTAAGGTACCAGAAATTTCATCCTTGGTAGAAGGTAACGCTGTCGTAATTACGTCATAACTAGCTATGACCACAAAATCAGAGCCATGTAGTATAACATCCAATGATCTGCAACAAGCTTTCACAGCTGCTGAAACAGCAATAGACCAGATGTAGTGATTTTCCATTGGTTGTACCTTGTTGGTTACAACTATTCGGTTCCAACTACCCTGGAACACCACGTTACCAATGGGTCTGGACTGAATTTGACGCGGCTTTCTTCACGCTTGCATCAAAATAAACGCTGAACCAACCAAAACTGCACAACTGTTGAATCCATCACTTTTGGGGTGGGGGGTCAGATAAAAAAAGATTAAAGAGGGGTCAGTTGAGGACTTCGGCATGAATTTAGAAAAAAGTATGGTAACCCAAACAACTATGCGACAAATTGGCTGTGGCTCAAAAGAACAGATTAAGTGTCCTAACGCTTGCATGTCATTTATCGTGCCGCTGTTGAAACGAACGGAACTTAAACGTATTTTGCTGTTTGATTATGTAGTTTAAAACAAAGGCGAGATAGACAGAAGTGTTTCTGATGTGAACTTTACTATGTACTACAGTATAGCCATGACTGTAACGGACAAGGTGTTTGTTCAAATAGCGGTACTAGTTGGGAACAAGAATACAAGTATAAATCCACAACTGGCTTCTCTTCAGATCAAGGCTATTTTTTGGCCACTTGAGGCTAGATTTTTCGCTGATCCGTGCAACAACTCTAGAAAAGCACTTGTTCCTGATATGGTTTTCCCGGTGTGAAAACTCGTGAAGAATTTTTCAACATCAGTGGGGTATTTTTTCTCGTAATCGTAGGATCGTTATATATACTACTTGTCCCTAAATCCTGTAGATACACTTCTAGTGCTTTAGAGTCTTGTACAGATTACAATAATCAAACTGCCTAAATAAGATAATTTAACTAGCAAATAATATGAAAAAATAACGGATGAACGAGTGGCCTGATATCTTTCACACAACTATTGTCCATCATAATATTACATGCTTGTGAGAAAACTCGTCACTTGACGCCACGACTCCCTGATCCATGTGGAAAGGCCGCAAGATATTATGCAGGCTTGTACATGCTTTACACATGGCCGTTATTATTTGTCTGCCCCGGTGACCGGTAATAAGGGTGACTTTTGAATGCCGCTTTCCTCATACCACTTTCTCACCAAAATAACTTTGATCATTAGTCTCTCAATATTCAGTAAAATCAAGTGTCAAGCAAAATTATGATGTGTATGAATTGATGGTATGGCTGTTCTTTGAAATTTAGTCCGCTATTCGAGGAACAGTTCTCTCCAAAAATATCTCACATTCTTGTTTCCAGGCGAAGTTTGTTTGAGAAAAGTTGTCAATAGACCTGATGGACAGACCCAGCAAGTAAACGAGGTGACGAGGATCATGTCCTCTGACATTCAGAGGCTAACTCTGGGCAACTGAATCTGTTTCTGTGAAAACTGAAGAACTACTCGATTCCAATTTTTTCACTTTGTTATGATGTGAGCTAAAGCCAGTAAGAGTCAACCAATCAATTTCTTTCAAGACAAGGCTGCGCACCAGCCAATCAGACGCCAGTTGGTTGTGCACTCTGAAATTTAGTCTAAGCGATGGAGATTCGGTAGCATTCTAAGCTGCAGTTGAAAGACATTAAAATGGAACTAGCGCCCTCCCTGCAGCACTCGTCAAACAATGATCTACAAGCTTTTGCATGCATCAGGTTGAACCATCGTGCATAGTGGGCTGGACGATGCTTCGAAGCTCCTCCACATGTTATCTCGAAGATCAAATGAGGTCTTCCGGTGATAGTCAGTCGAGACCGACTGAGTTCATCCAAAAACCAAGCACAAGCCATCTCGCACTTCCAGTGCGAAACCATATTATTGTCAG